CCCCGTCCGTCCGTCCGGCGTCCACAATTGCTTATGGACGCTTTAAATTTATACACCGTGTTTAAGGTCATGCGACGAAGAAGCCTATTGATTTTCAGCGATTTCCAATGATTACTGCTAGGGTTATGGCCCTTGTTCATTTCAAAAAATCTTGTGGACGCTCTAGAGGCCAAAGTAAATATCCGATTGACTTTAAGTTTATACACAGTGTTTATACACAGCCTATTGATTTTCAGCGATTTCCGATAATTATTGCCAAAGGCAGTCGTTTACGCCTGATTAATCCAGTCTACACCGGGAGTACGATTTTACATTAATTTCACTCCGCACTCGGTTTTGCCTCATTTATCACCTTTTGCCTCATTACAAATAGCGCTCTAGACCATAGAGAAAACGTCGTCGCAGGCTGAATTTAAAATGTTCAGTGTGCCTTAAATATTGGATACCAAGATCCCATATTTTCACGATGCAATAACAACACCAATATTGATTGAAATGGGCCAAAATTATATAGTCTTTTTAATGTCGAAGATCATGGATACTATTGTGCTATGAAGGACAACGGCGCTACGACCAACTTTTATATCGAATTCCAATAAATAAACAAAAATCTCTTGAAAACGCCTAATTAGGAGATAATAAGACTTAATTAGGACTTAGTATCTCCAAAGTAGGACTTAGTATCTCCAAAGTAGGACTTAGTATCTCCTAAGTAGGGCTTAGCATCCTGGTCCTAACAGGTGTATGAGAGGTGTATGCACTGTGGGATATATGTGCAGTGTAGGACAGGTGTGTTCAGTCACTGTGGTAGATGGGTGTAGTGTAAGTGAGGTGTGCGGTGTGACAGTGATCGTGGTGTAAGAGGGGTATGCAGTGAGAGAGAATGAGCAAGTGTATGCGGTGTAAGATGATTCACCTAATGTTTAGTTCAGTAATCCCCAAATTAGGAGTTATCATCTCCAAATAAGTCCTAATTAGGAGATACTATTTTTGTTCTCCATTTGTGCGGGCAACTTTAAGCTGGATTTTCTGAATTATAATTTGAACGGTTATTCCATACTTCTGCCTCTGCATTGAATTCTAATTGTCTATAAGGCACCATGATTTTTTGGTACCACCCGAACGGCTAGACGCTGTTCCTTTGCTAGGCACACCTGTCTGCACCACTGACAAGGGGAAACCATGCTGGAAGACCCAGTATGGAATACCAAATGGGTTTAATCTGATCAATTTAACTGCACCAGTCTTCATTCGCAATTATTTATCTAAACTTTTCACACTTGAATCAACATTTTTCCCGTAAAACTTTCCCTCTTAAATATAAACCTTTGAAACAGCATCTCTTTATAAAGTTGATGATTTTTTTTTCACTGTTACATTTAAGATACATTCTGGGAGATTCGATAACGAGTTGGCAGTTCTCACTATAATAGTTAAAAACTAGATAATGTAAAGGCAATTTGCTGAAAATTTCATTCAAATTGATCCACTATGAACCGAGAACTAAGCGATTGCAATTTCTGCCTAGCCTCGATCATCATTACTAAAGTCAGTACGATAAACAGCGTAGTCTCTCGATTATCCATTTAATCGTTAAATCGTGAAGGAAAGTTATGCAGTAAATCGGCTCATAATCCGCTAAAGATCGCAGGCTAGCGATGCCATCTAGAGTTGCTTATCGTCTGGATAGGTTAATTAATGTCTAATTAATAATTTAGATGCCATTTTAGGCCTAAAGAAAGACCTGCAATAAACAGATTTAGCTCTTGCATAATGTATGCTTAACATAATTTAACGGAATAACAAAGAGCATAATTGAAATAAACAAATTTTACTAAAATAGTTCTGGATAATCTCCCTATTAAAAGAATTACTGGACCAAGGCTTTTTTTTAAAAACAAAACAGACAAACAACATATGTCTTCAAATTAGTTTAAGAGTAGCAATCACAGTAAATTGTTAATTTGTTCCATAAATTCTCCATTTAAATGAAAAGGTAGTCTCAAAATGACCAAAGTGTCGTGTTAAAGAGACGTTAAACACCATTCCATTTAATTTTCAATAATAAAATACATGTATTTTTTTTTATATTGAAATATCTATAGGTATAACTTTTATGCGCTAGTTCCTTTTATTGACCACATTTTCATGTAGACGTATTTTGTCGTCGCCCCTGTCCGTCCACAATTTGTTTTGTTTGTGGACACCCTGGGTCACAATTTTCTTTATCCGATTTTGACGAAATTTGAAATATAGGTTTATCTTTAAAAGATCTCGGTTTCTTTCGATATTGGCATGTATCGGACCGTAACTCTAGGTGACAATATTTACCCGATTTTGATGAAACTTTAAATGCATGCTTATAACCCAACGATCTCGGTTCCTTTCGATACTATCGCGCATATCGGACCTTGATTATGGCCCCTGATTGTATGAAAATCGCGTTTTTAAAATTGGGGTCTCTCTCGAGGTCACAATTTTTATCCGATTTGAAAAACCTTTCGAATATTTCACCGTTACACCATAATGATGGTTGAGTTCGAATTTCTTGAGAAACGGACCGAAACTGCCCGACAATAGTGTACGCAAATAGTGTAAAAGTATGTAATACCAAGGTCACACTTTTTATCCGATTTTGTTGAAACTTAACATATGTGTTTATGTCCCAAAGATCTTGGCGACTGGCGATATATGCGCATATCAGACCGTAACGTCCTGGACTATGGCCCCTGGTTATACGAAAAATCGTGTTTTTAGCTTGCGAGCCCTCTAGAAGTCACAATTTTTATCTGGTTTTAAAAAAATGTTTAAAATATATCACCGTTACACATATTGATGGTTAAGTTCGAATTTCGGGAAAATTGGAACGAAACTAACCGACAAAATGGCCGCTCTTTGTACGCGAATAGTGTAAAAGTATGTAATACCAAAGTTGTGGACCAAATAGAGGTCATATTTTTTTGTCCGATTTCAATTCAACTTAAAATATATGTTTATATCCCAAAGATCTCGATTCCTTTCGATATTCGCTCAATCAGACCGTAACTTCCTGGATGACCTGGCGCCTGGTACGTTCGGGCATTTTTATGCGCGAACTCTTAGGTTTTTTTACTGGCATGCGCACAGGTACTATTTCTTTTTCTTTTAACAAGTACCCAAATCGGGGATTTCGTGCGGAGGTAGTTCGAAGGTAAACAGTCTGTGAAGTACAACACTTGCCACTGTACCTGTGTATTGCTAATTATAAACCGAATGTGTGAAGACAGTTCATACATATCACTCAAAAATTTTTCAGTACAAACTCAGTTGATTCACGCTCGATTTGCTACTAAACAAACCCATCGGTTTATTTTCTCAACAGTGTGACCCGAAGTGACCGCGGATTTATTGACCTTGTATGAACTTATCCATAGCTATATCCTTACACCGAGAGAAATTATCTAGTCTCGGTGAAAAGAACCATGGTCATCTGGTAGAAAATTACTTTTGTATTTTTTGGAACGGAAAACAGTGTTTTTAGAAGCAAACTAACCTGCCGCACATGAGGAAGTCATTATACTAATAATAAAAGGCGAGACCTCTTTTTGCGGCGCAGGCTTATCACTGAGTAGTAAACCGTCCACAAACAATAATATAGGAAGCCTAGTGACGAGTGTAGTAAGTAGGCTATAGACTATAGGTTTGAGTCGAGATTACTCGCTTTCAGTTTACTCTGTTTTTGCGATAACCAATTATGTGAGAAATACCATACTGACATTCGGTTTTTAAAAGTTGTACGCGAACTAAATGCGTTTGTTAGATACTGACAGAGCAGCCCCGAGTCGAACAATCGCCGCCCGACTGTCTTCGTCAGCTAGTTTCACAATATCGTGCAATAGGTGTATTAATGTGATTTTTAGGTTTAACCCCGCAAACAATGCCAAAATAGTGTTTTCACTGCTTACAGAAAACTGAAATTTAAAAAAAAAAAATTTATGAGGGTGACCCTCCCACACACTCCCTATCGAGCTGCCGCTCGGTCTGCGCAGCCTCATGCCTGGCACATACTGTCAACATTGTATATTTTTTCCGTTTCCGCCCTTCCCCCCCCCCCCCCACAATATATATTTCACGGCTACGTTGCGACGGTACCAGCATACCCAGTTGTTGACACCCATTACATCACTCCTGTCTAACAAATCATAAAGCTGTGGTGTTACGGTGGCGGCATAGTATTTCACCGTAACACCACAGCCACTCTAACCATTCATAATACATCTAACTATCCCTTTACAGCACTTCACCCCCTACACATTTCCCCTCGTCCTACTTTCCCAAACGTCAACAACACATCTCATACATCCAGTTCGCTGATTAACCCTTGTACCACGTCTACTGGATTATGGCCCCCTGATTGTACATGTATGAAGAATCGTGTTTTTTTGGTTTTGTTTGTCCCCCGCCTTTCGAAGAAGGCATTTGACTATTAAAATGGGTTCGTCCGTCTGTCTGCCCGTCACACTTTTTGGGACACAATAACTCTCTTTCTAATTGAGCTAGAATGTTCAAACTTGGTGTAGGTGTTTATTAGGTCAATACCTTGACGAAGTTTGAAGATGAGCATTTTCCGCTTAGGGTAAGCGGAGATAAGAAATTTGATTGGTTGATGCTTTGGGACGCGATAACTTTAGTTCTAATTAAGTGAGAGTGATGAAACTTGGTGTATAGTTTCATTACATCAATACCTTGCCTCGTACGTAACTAACGTACGAAAATTAAATGGTAGCTGGCTTTTTTTTCGCACGTATACAGTGAATGGCCATTTTGCGCAGTAATCCCAGCCAGAATTTGGCTATTTTTTAAAATTGCGTTAAAGATTAAAATTTTTGTTTAGATCTGAAATAAATTAACTATTAGTCAATACCCACGCTTAAAGCATTAACAGAATTGATTATGTATATCTGAAATAGACCCGACCGAAGCACAAAATAGTGCCAGTATCGTGGCAATTATGGCGGCCTCCATACGACGTCAAATCTATGAGTTGTATACTAGTAGATGTTATTTGTGTGAAAAATCACTAGAAGAAGGGAGAGCACGTTATGGCTGTACGGATTATATAGTCCTACAGGCTGCAAGAAGGAAACAATGCTGATCATAATGTGTTGACATTTGTTCGTTGATGTGATTGTTGGACATACGGAGTGGACTGGAAATACAAACAATGTAAGTTCATAATTTATTCTGAGTGGTACTGGTAGTTTGTATATAGCATGACCACAAACTGAACACAGTTTTATTGATAGTCGTAATCAGTGTTAATAGGCCTAATCATTGTTAATACTAATAATAGGCCTATTGTTAATTTTGATTTTATTGCTGGAATAGGTTAATAAAAATTAGAGTCAGTTGAGTAGGCTATCCTCTTTTCTCCAAAACTATGGAAGGGAGTTCTTTATTTATTTTTTAAAAAACAAACACATATTCAGAATAGGCATTGCTTCAGAAATAGAACTTTTACTTCCCATATATTTAGTAGTTAAATTAGTTAGGCCTACAGGATAGTCTGAAACTATAATATCTACGCTACTTAATATTTAGGATTCACTCTTTTGATTACACTGAAAAATAAATTTTCAATTTGTGGGTTTTTTTTTAACTACAATTTACTTTTACTAGTATTACAATGCATAGTGGGCCCAGGCCGTGGTAGCTCAGTGAATAAGACGTTTGCTCGCTAATCTGGGTGTGCCATGTTCGATCCCAGTGTTGGCAAATACTTCATCAGAATATCTCGGCGGAGTTCCCCCTAGTCAGTGGATCAGGACAGTGGGCCTGGCAGGGGAAAATACGCAGTCGTTTGGGTGGGACAGACAACCAAGGTCCTATGTACATATTGTCGTTCATGTGAAAGAACCCTTAGCAGTTGAAATTTGATATAAGAGTAGTCTGTAGTGCCGCTGCACACTGTATGGCGTATGTCCGTCTTCACTATAGCCCAATTGGACTAGGACATTAATCCCTTTTACATTTCATTTTTCCTATTGACACATGTAGCTAAGATACATATTATGGGCGAATTGAAATACATGTAGGCCTATAGTTTTGATCTACACGTTGTAAGTTAGTGCCTGTATTTTCAATAATTAGACGACTATAGATTTTATCATCGCCTACAATTAATAACATTTATTTATTTGTTCTTCTTGAAACAGAGAAATTCCTTGAATATCTTAAATATTGAATACAATAATGTAATGCTTTGTGCAAGAGAACTTTTTTATTTTTAATCATGAGAATAAATAAAACCAACAGTTTTTATTTTTACTCTGCTCTAATACATGTACATGTATCTGGACCCAAATGTACCCAATGTAAGATATTCAATCATAAATTATTTCATAGTCATAATAATATTGAATATTTTTTTGTAGGCTAGTTTGGTAAATGTACATGTACATCGTAGACTAGAAAGTGGGAAAAGACTGACGTTATCTTATCTGAATTTAACCCGTTTATCAAGAATCCTGAACTGCCCGTACCATTTGTCCTACAGATAATGGCGTTGGCAATGAAATCCAGGCTGGTCGCATTGATTTAGGACTATGATAAGTTAAAGGTTTTATCAAGGATGGTTTTTAACCAACTGCGGCATACAACATCTGTTTATGCAAGAAATACAATAAAGCCAAGACAAAATTTGTTTTAATGCAAGACTGATACTGCTACACCAAGAATTATATCAGATTTCTACAATATGATACAATACTTAAAATCTTGTATATAAGAACACTTATTGACCCCCCCCCCCCCCCACACACACACACACACACACCTTTGGTTAAAATAGGTACAGTTTTGATAAATTGTAATGAAATGAGACATTGGGTGTGGAACATCTTTTTCTTGTACAGATACCATTTTCTTACCAGTAATCATAAACAAACTGTTAAAGTTTAAGAAGAAAAACAACAATCAGTGGAGAATCAAATTTATCAATCAACAAAATAATAAATCATGTGACAGATCAAGAAAAAGAGGATTTAACTGTGTACATATACAATTCTACATGTATACCAAATACATGGTTTATGACCTAGCTAGAGTACTACTAATCAGCTGATCAATTAATGGTACATTTACTTCAAATTTAAATTATTATAAACATCAAGTGGTTTCCACTTGAAGTCTATTTAACATATGGATGTGGACCAAGGCCTATATAAACAAATATTTGTTAGTGCAACATACAGTTCAAAAGACAAATAAAACACTTATTATTCACTTTGACATATTCGATCATTTGCACTGTGTTTGTGTACTGTTCGCAGTAGGCTTAATTGTTGCAGATCCACTCGGAATGGATTTGGGTTTTAAGTATAATTAAATATACTGTTTAATCATAAGAATAAATAAACCAATAAAAAGGTTTGCAGAATATTGTTAGATTTACATGATTTTTGAATGATCTGTATTAAATATACATTATGCAAGAGCTAAATCTGCCTATTGCAGGTCTTTTTTAGGCCTGAAATGATATATAAACTATTAATTAGACATTTTTTGACATAACAAGACCATAATCAACTTTCGATGCCATTGGGAGAGGCGAGACTTAGCTTCGAACAACCAGTATGGTGGTTACAATTAATGCACACATCTTGTCAAATCGTCAAAGGCTAATATCTTCGCTCGCAATAGAGTAATTTGAACGAAAATTTTAAAATATTAATTTTGCATTATCTATTTTCGAACTATTAAAGCTAGAATGACTAGCTCTTTATCTAAAACTTACATAATGTATCTTTAATCTGATTATAACACCATAACAAAATTATTTTGTTTATTATTTCCCACTGACAAAGTCTCATGTACATAGTTGTCATAGGATTTTAAAATTCGTTAAAGATACATTATGGGAGATTAGATAAAGAGCTGACAGTTCTCGCTATAATAGTTAAAAACTAGATAATGTAAAGGTAATTTGTTGAAAATTTCAGTCAAATTGGTCCACTATGAACCGAGATATCAGCTTTGTAAATTTCCGCCTAGCCTCGTTCATCATTACTAAAGTTAGTACGTTAAAAAGCATAGTCTCGATTATCCAATGTTTTGATTTAATTATCAATGAGCGTTTGCAGCATATAGGATTCTAATCCAGTCGATATCGAAGGCTAGCCTTGACATCGAGAGTTGATTATGGTCTGGATAAGTTAATTAATGTCTAATTAATAATTTAGATAAGATTTCAGGCCTAAAGAAAGACCTGCGATAGGCAGATTTAGCTCTTGCATAATGCATGTTTAAGGTTCACAAGTGGCATATTCATGTACCAGCACACACCAGCAGTTAATCATTTAATGTAATGTTTACTAATAGATGTAGGCCTACATTGTTTACTGTGAAGCAGCTGGACTTATTGTCAAATAATATGAAATGTTGATATTCAAGTAAATACACAATTTTCTGTATTACAAGTTATATTCTATTTCTCGACAAATTGTGACATGTTTCATGTAAAGATCGGGGTATATCTCCTCTAACACTCGGATTTCATTGTTTGCGATGTGAGTAGAGCACTCAGTTTCCATTCATTGTCTACCTGATCTCCTTAAATTGGTTTGTGTTGGTCTCATGTTTGTACATTCTGAAATATAAAATAATTACAGGTTTTTTTATGCCCATGTTCCATTAATAAGAAAATAATGGGAAGAAGTACACACATAAAATTCCGAGGGAGGATAAAAAAGAAACATAAATATTTTTCTATCGATGTTCCAACTTGCAGGGCTTACTTGTACATGGAAAGAGCAATGTCAAAAGTACATGTACATATAACAGAGACGGATTCAACTTTGTAAAATGAAAATTATAGAGGGAGGTGGCCTTTGCTGGGTCCAGATCGAGGGAGAGCCTAATCTACGAAATCGAGGGGCGTATTTATGTTCCCCAAAAATATCCAGGCAACTCCCAAGACCCATGTAATTGTCCAGATCTTTATTGAAAGATATCCATTGATGGTTCTCTCCGAACCCCAAACTCAACAAGGCTCCATGGAAAAGAACATGGGTTGTTCTCAAAATAACTTGTATACACACGGTGACATTATCGGGAACGGCAATACTATATACCGGAAAACACCGGAAAACAACCGGAAAACACCATTTTATACTGAATACCGGAAAACACCCGAAAAACACTTAATACCGGAAAACATCCTAAATACCGGAAAACACCCTAAATAGGTAACCCGGAGCCTGGTCCTCTGTGTGCGGTTTTGGACCAAGTGAGCGCCGATGAAGGAAGGTCAAGGTCATTACGATGTTCGTTTTACAAATAGCCCCCCCCCCCCCAAAAAAAAAAAAAATTCCGATTTTTTTTTTCTCCAAAATTTTTTTGACGAAAAAAAATTTCTGTCACAAAAAGAAAAAATTCGAAATTTCCGATAATTTTACAGAGAAAAATACTGGAAAAAATTTTTTTTTTGAGAGATAAATTTTGGAGAAGAAATTGTTTAAAAAAATCTGAAAATTCCGATTTTTTTTCCTCCAAAATTTTTTTGACGAAAAAAATTTTCTGTCACAAAAAAAAAAATTCGAATTTTTCCGAAAAATTGGTTTTACATAAAAACATTCCGTAGAAAATAATTTTACAGAGAAAAATACTGGAAAAAAATTGTTAAAAAAAATCTGAAAAGAAATTTTTCTTTGACCGTAGGCGATCGCTCGCTTGTATGTTAATGAACTTATTTCATCAGCGCTCACCTGGTCCAAAACCACACACGAGGACGAAACTCCGGGTTACTAAATAGCGACCGGAAAACTTAGAAGAGTAAACTGTGCCCGAGATTTTTTAGAGAGCGCCGCTCCGGGGGGAATCATCGTCAGAGTGGGACGGGGGTGGAATTGTCCAGTCACGTGACGAACATAGATCTCTCGTTCCTCAAGCCATATTATTTCTACAGTCATTGTCATTAATCACAAATTACGGGATGATATACGAAAATGCAGGTTTACTTTGAAATAGTGCAAATGATATTTTTCCACCAAAGGATGCAAGTTCTTACACAGTGCAGTATAATTTGTGCATCAGAAGACATCTCGAATATCGATTGTCGGAAAAAACATTTTCTCGGGGACATTTTTTTCCGAATACGCATTCGGTGTAAGTCTTCAGCCACCGGGAAGTGGTTAACATAGTAATGTTTTATTACGATAGTAGTACATAAAACAAATTGGTTGCCGGAGGTTCTCTGGGAGAAAGTAGCCTCATTGGCTAGAGTCCTCTATTTCACAAACAAAAACAACAATTGCTTCCTTGAAAATTTATCGAACAACCCTTTTTACAGAAGTCCAGCTTACCACTTCCCGTCAATGTAGTAAGATAGAATATGTACTTTTCTCATGGACAATTGGGCGAAAGTTGGAGTTTTCTCAAGGAAAACTGGTCAACAAGTTGGGGAAAAAAGCTCGAAAAGTAATCCAGAAAAAAATCATGTGTGCGGCCCTCGGAATATGATGGAATATGTTGAATATTATTATGATTCAAGTGATTATATTTGATCCTGGAATGAAAGTAAGCTCAGAAATAAGTAGATTTTTAGCCCTTCCAACGAGATGGATAGCTCTTGGAAAGGATAGACACTTTTCAGATTACAGCCTGTCCAAGAATTGCGTGGCATCCATTTCGTTTGGTGATTAGGACACATAGCGGTTAAACCTGGAACTTCAACTCGAACTATTCAGAGATTTATTAACTCGCTTTTGATGATAGTTGCTGTTTTATGATGCGATTTTTTTGTTACCAAGGGAGGAGTTGGCCTAGTCGCGCCTTCCACTAATTCGTACCACCCTGATTCCAGCGTTACTAGTAAGAATCAGGAGACCGGCGCAACCGGCATATAATGGGGCCCTTCGAGGTCAGTGTTTAATCTACCGAAATACTGAAACACTGAAATTTACTGAAAACAAAAATTAAAATACAAAATATAATATAGTCAATGATGGAGGTAGACTGATTGCGTCTTTTAAAACATTCAAAACATAATAGGCATCAACAAAATTTTGGAGAAAAAAAAATTGGAAATATTTTTTTTTTTTTTTTGGGGGGGGGGGGGGGCTATTTGTAAAACGAACATCGTAATGACCTTGACCTTCCTTCATCGGCGCTCACTTGGTCCAAAACCGCACACCGGGTTACCTATTTAGGGTGTTTTCCGGTATTTAGGATGTTTTCCGGTATTTAGTGTTTTTCCGGTGTTTTCCGGTATTCAGTATAAAATGGTGTTTTTCGGTTGTTTTCCGGTTGTTTTCCGGTATATAGTATGGCCCATCGGAAAAGTAAACTGAATGTTAATTTATAAAACCAAAAATAATTCACTTTTTCTTACCTTTTGTAAACGTATTTTTTCCTGCTTTTGAAATTTAGTTTTACAGTACACCCAACTATAGTCTACGGCTTGTCTTTTATCATTACATGTCCAACGGCTACTTCAATAAAGCTCTGTCCGAATTCAAGTATTATTCTATCGCTTTCCAATAATATCTTTCAATATAGTGAAATTCTTCGTGTTGTTTTTTTCTGACAGTTTTGTTTTCTCCCACGGCAAATGTCCGTTAAAACTTGCTAATTCTGTTAATAGTGTTAAAATCCCATTGTCTTCCTGGAATTTATTATTCAAACTAAAAGAGTTGTGTCCGTGTTATGGCACAGACAACCCTGATACGACGCAGATTTTCTGTTCATCGAAGCCATTTTACTTTCGTTTGTTTGTTTACAAGCGGGGGGTTGGATGGCTGAATGGTTAGCGTGCGCGCGCTGTATCACAAAGTCTGTCAATGAGTCGACTGACGTGGTTTCGAATCCCCAGTTGTACGTGACAAGGAGTAGGGTCGCCTGATCAACCTCGTGGGTTTTCTCCGGGTCCTCCGGTTTCCTCCTACTGCTAAAGACCCCTATGCAAAAGCGAATTATTGAAATAAAATTAAACCATATGTTAGTCCCGAAATGACCTAGTTGTGTCGAGTGGACGTTAAACCCCATTTCTCTCTCTCTCTCTCTCTCTCTCTCTCTCTCTCTCTTTTGTTTACAAGCTGAGTTCCGGTACAAAATGTAGTGCGTTGACCTCATGACCTGTGACGTTTAGATGACGTCATATGGATATCATGGCTATTCATTGTGTCAGAGTCACTTCTCTGCAGGTAGGGAGAGTCTGTCGTTCAGATTGTACCTTGACTAAGTTCGATAATGAGCATTTTCTGCTCAGGGTAAGCACAGCGATAAGCAATTTGATTGGCCAAGATTTTGGAACACAATAACTCTCCTTCTAATTGAGCTAGAATGTTCAAACTTAGTGTAGGTGTTTATTGGGTCAATGCCTTGATGGAGTTCGAAGATGAGCATTTTCTGCTTAGGGTAAGCAGAGATAAGCAATTTGATTGGTTGATGCTTTGGGACACAATAACTTTAGTTCTAATTAAGTGAGAGTGAGGACACTTGGTGTATAGCTTTATTACATCAATACCTTGACTAAGTTCGATAATTAACAATTTCTGCTGAGGGTAAGCAGAGCGATAAGTAATTTGATTGGTCGAGACTTTGGAACACAATAACTCTCCTTCTAATTGAGATAGAATGTTCAAACTTGGTGTAGGCATTCATTAGGTGAATCCCTTGATGGAGCTCGATTATGAACATTGTCTGCTTACGGTAGGCAGAGATAAGCAATTTGGTTGGTTGATGCTTTAGGGGCACGATAACTTTGGTTATAATGAACTGAGAGCGATGAAACTCTGAATATAGATTCATTATATCATTACCTTGACTAAGTTCGATTGTGCGAATTTTCTGCCTGGACTAAGGAGCGATAAGCAATTTGATTGGTCAAGACTTTGGAACATAAAAACTCTGCTTTTATTTGAGGTAGAATGTTTAAACCTGATGTAGATGTTCATTAGGTGAATGTCTTGACTGATTTCAATGATTAACATTTCAAGCTAAAGCTAAGCAGAGCTAATCAATTTCATTGGTCGATTCTTTGGGACAAGATAATCTTGATTCTATATGATAGAGAGTGATGAAACTTAGTGTGTAGTTTGATTGCTCGATACTTTTGAAAAAAATATATGTGCGATTAATTAATATGTGTCATCTATTTATTTTGGGATTTCGGAGGGGGACATCAGCTTCGCTGTTGGCTTGTTTAGTTTGTTCTCTGTCCATCTTTTCACCTTGGTCTTATCCGAACAACATAATCTAGACTGACATAGAGGAAAGAATTGGTAATTCCTTAAAGATACATTATGGGAGATTAGATAACGAGTTGGCAGTTCTCACTATAATAGTTAAAATCTAGATAATGTAAAGGCAATTTGCTGAAAATTTTATTCAAATTGATCCACTATGAACGTAGAATAAGCGATTGAAATTTCCGCCTAGCTTCGATCATCATTACTAAAGTCAGTACGATAAACGGCATAGTCTCGATTATCCATTTAATCATTAAATTAGGAAAGTTATGCAGTAAATCGGCTCATAATCCACTAAAGATCGCAGGCTAGCGATGTCATCGAGAGTTGATTATGGTCTGGATAGGTTAATTAATGTCTAATTAATAATTTAGATAACATTTCAGGTCTACATAAAGACCTGCAATAGACATATTTAGCTCTTGCATAATGTATGTTTAATTGTTTACGCTGACAAATACCATTGTACTTCCCGAATTCCAACAAGCGGCAATATTTCTTACTGGGAGTGCAAAAAAGTAGCACGAATAAGTGATACAAAGATATCTTTGTTTGAAATATTACAAACAATAAACCCACATGTATACAATCTGTGAAGTACGTCATACTATGTAAATATAGGCTATATACGTGCGTAGGTAAATAGTTTGGTATGTTTATCTTCGCATAGTGGATTGCATCATCTTGTGAATACCATGTGGTGGTGTTATTGATTCTCTATACAGTACTAAGCTATGGTTACAATCCGATTAAACTTCGCACTGCACAGAACAAGGTCAAGGTTGTTTAGTTACCGTAATTCATTGATTTCCCGATCCAGTGTATTTATTGCCCAGTTGTAATATTTTACAGTCTATGGACATGGAATGTGTAGGAACACCATATCTGGTAAAATTTTATGATAAACTTTGTCAGCCACCTCTTTAGCTTCTTGAATTTTTGTAGGAAGGAATCTACTACCAATAAAATATGCTTATAACTCTCTGGTCTTTCAGGTAGTGGCCCAAGGAAATCTATATGGAGTCTACAAAATGCTTCTTCGATATCCATGGGAGTTAAAGGGACTTTACTATGCGCATTGTTTTTTGTTCGTTGACAAATTTCACAATTGGAAATCTAGTCATTAACCGTGTCATAAAGTTTTGGTCACCAATATTTTTGCAACATGTAGTTGCTTCTTTACCTTTATGGCAACCCCAAGCTAAGGAATTAGCAAGTCTTTTCTTAGTATCAGATGGAAATGCAAGTCTTCTCTTAGTATCCGAGGAACTGCAATTTGTTTGACCGTGGTATTCTTTTCCGTCTTTTGCACGTGGATGTGGGAAATGACTTTCCAAAGATAGCAAGGGATCGAGAGTTTCTCATTTCAACGTTAAGTTTGTTCCATTCTCGTATACTGGAAGGGATGAAGGACAAGGAGAAAATTTCGGTTCTGCATCTGGTTTCCTTTAGTTTATCTTTGTTTCTAAGGGTATAATTGATAGGGGCAGAGGACAGTTCTAATAGGTCAGAGAGATATGATGGCACGAGGTTGTTAATAATTTTATACATTAATTTTAATTTATGACGTCGACGTCTTTCCGAGAGTGGATCAAACCCAGTCTCTTTATAGAGTAAGGCATGGCTAGTACCTCTTACCGCCCCACAGATAGTGCGCAGTGCACCTAATTGTAGGGATTGTAGGGATAATATCGGCATAATCAAAGTGTGGAAGGATAAAAGAACAGTATATTGTGTTTAAAGATTTTATATTCATTCTATATTTTAGAGATTGAAGGCAATTTACTAGTTTGGATACTTTGCTTACAAGGCTATCTATATGATTATTACATTTACAGTTAGTTTGATAGATTAGACCTAGATGACCTGGCGCCTGGTACGTTCGGGCATTTTTATGCGCGAACTCTTAGGTTTTTTTTTACTGGCATGCGCACAGGTACTATTTCTTTTTCTTTTAATAAGTACCCAAATCGGGGATTTCGTGCGGAGGTAGTTCGGAGGTAAACAGTCTGTGAAGTACAACACTTGCCACTGTACCTGTGTATCGCTAATTATAAACCGAATGTGTGAAGACAGTTCATACATATTACTCAAAAATTTTTCAGTACAAACTCAGTTGATTCACGCTCGATTTGCTATTAAACAAACCCATCGGTTTATTTTCTCAACAGTGTGACCCGAAGTGACCGCGGATTTATTGACCTTGTATGAACTTATCCATAGCTATATCCTTACACCGAGAGAAATTATCTAGTCTCGGTGAAAAGAACCATGGTCATCTGGTAGAAAATTACTTTTGTATTTTTTGGAACGGAAAACAGTGTTTTTAGAAGCAAACTAACCTGCCGCACATGAGGAAGTCATTATACTAATAATAAAAGGCGAGACCTCTTTTTGCGGCGCAGGCTTATCACTGAGTAGTAAACCGTCCACAAACAATAATATAGGAAGCCTAGTGACGAGTGTAGTATGTAGGCTATAGACTATAGGTTTGAGTCGAGATTACTCGCTTTCAGTTTACTCTGTTTTTGCGATAACCAATTATGTGAGAAATACCATACTGACATTTGGTTTTTAAAAGTTGTACGCGAACTAAATGCGTTTGTTAGATACTGACAGAGCAGCCCCGAGTCGAACAATCGCCGCCCGAGCTGTCTTCGTCAGCTAGTTTCACAATATCGTGCAATAGGTGTATTAATGTGATTTTTAGGTTTAACCCCGCAAACAATGCCAAAATAGTGTTTTCACTGCTTACAGAAAACTGAAATTTAAAAAAAAAATTTTTTATGAGGGTGACCCTCCCACACACTCCCTATCGAGCTGCCGCTCGGTCTGCGCAGCCTCATGCCTGGCACATACTTGTCAACATTGTATATTTTTACCTTTCCGCCCTTCCCCCCCCACAATATATATTTCACGGCTACGTTACGACGGTACCAGCATACCCAGTTGTTGACACCCATTACATCACTCCTGTCTAACAAATCATAAAGCTGTGGTGTTACGGTGGCGGCATAGTATTTCACCGTAACACCACAGCCACTCTAACCATTCATAATACATCTAACTATCCCTTTACAGCACTTCACTCCCTACACATTTCCCCTCGTCCTACTTTCCCAAACGTCAACAACACATCTCATACATCCAGTTCGCTGATTAACCCTTGTACCACGTCTACTGGATGTTTATGTTCACTTACTTCTTTAATTTGTACCTGGTTCATAAATAATGGTGGGTTAAGTATGTGGGGTTTAGTAGTAATAGTCAGTGTCTCTGTTTTTAGGGGGTTAAAAGTTACCAGCCATGTCTCAGCCCAATTTCTGATTCGATTTAAGTCATCGTTAATGGTAGCAGCACTTGCCACTGGGTCTTCAATTTTTAAATATAAAGAGTTATCGTTAGCAAATAATCTAATGTTTGAATTTATATTGTTCACAATGTCATTTATGTATATTAAGAATAAAAGAGGGCCTAGTACAGATCCTCGGGACACCAGCAGGGATG